AGTTCTGTTTGTGACGATATATCGTCACAAACAGAACTGCCCGGTAAACCGTAGGCAGAGAGAGAGAAGAGGACAACAAACGAGGGGCTGTGACAAACTGTTTCGTCGGAGTTTCACCGACTCATCAGGAGGCTGAACCCTATATATATCTATATATGCACACCTCAGGGTATCAGTTTTGCCTAGCCCCCTAGTGCCTGTAACTGCTATTCAGTCCAAGTCATGCTATCAGATAATGAGGTGATAGTCCGAGCCTCCGAGGTGATTAACACCGACTCAGAGGTAGGATAATAGGAATAGGGGGTACGCTGGGAGAATTGATGAGAGGATGGGTTGGGAGGTGGTCTCACAAATGGAACAAACAATTGTCAGGACAACCAATGGCTGGCTGATGCAGCGACCACCACCGCGTGTTTGGAACCTGGGCTTCCGACCTGCACGAAAGGCGTAACGATCTGGGCGCTATCACTTACAGTGTGTAATAAGTTAGGGTATTCGGCAGATTCTTGAGGGTTCAACCTGCTGATGAGGCGGTAGGTGAAACTCCGACGAAACAGTTTGTCGCAGCGCCTCGTTTGCTGTCCTCTTCTCCTTCAGAGTCTCTGCCGACGGTTTGCTTGCCAGTTCTGTTTGACTATAGATATCATTTGTTGTCCTCTTCTCCCTCCCTCTCTGCCTACGGTTTTACAGGGCAGCTTGTTTGTTCGTCAAACAGAGCTGCCTACGGTAAACCGTAGGGGCAGAGAGGGGCAAGAGGGAGAAGAGAAGAGGACAACAACGAGGGGCTGTGACAAACTGTTTTCTCGGAGTTCACAGAACACACAACAAACGAGGGGCTGTGACAAACTGTTTCGTCGGAGTTTCACCTACCGACTCATCAGGAGGCTGACAGATAGAGAATAGGGAAATTTTTTTTTTTTTTCAATGCCCCTAAAGTTTGCGTTTATTTGCAGCGTGCCCTCTGACGGCCGACTTACCTTGTCGCGCCCCTCTGACGACAAAAACCGTAGGGGCAGAGAGGGGCAAGAGGGAGAAGAGAAGAGGACAACAACGAGGGGCTGTGACAAACTGTTTTCTCGGAGTTCACAGAACAGGACAACAAACGAGGGGCTGTCACAAACTGTTTCGTCGGAGTTTCACCTACCGACTCATCAGGAGGCTGACAGATAGAGAATAGGGAAATTTTTTTTTTTTTTCAATGCCCCTGAAGTTTGCGTTTATTTGCAGCGTGCCCTCTGACGGCCGACTTACCTTGTCGCGCCCCTCTGACGACGAATGCTGTTTCCAGAAAACCCCTGGCTTCGTTTGGGCCTGAAAAATGTTTCATATGCCCCTACCGGTACCAGTACCAAATTTTCAGTACGCCCGTACTGGATGGCCATTGAGAACCAGCACAAAAGTTTCCCATATGCCCTTATTGGTACCGCCCACCTTTCCAGCGAGCCCCTGTGGCCGTTGGTGACACTCGCAGTCTTTCCCCTGGCCCCGGGAGAGATGCTACCGGGGCATATCAGAAATTTGGCGATGAGCATGGACACACACACACACGCGCGCGCACACACACACACACACACACACACACACACACACACACATGCGCGCGCATACGCGCGCACACATTTTGAATTCGAATTCCTGCCGCCACTGCTGCAAGGGCATCACAGAAAGATGTGTGCCCCTCGTGAGAGCATTTCAAGGACCGGCCGACGAAATGCCACCAGCGGTCCAGTAGGGGCATATTGGAAAGTTACGCCCCATGCTGACAGGGGCCTGCGGAAAATTTCAGAGGCCGGAGGGGCACCACAGGGTAAGCCGGCCTTCACAGGGGCATGCCGCAAATAAACGCAAACTTCTGGGGCATTTCGAAAATTTCCCCTTTTTTTTCCCCCCCTTCCATGGACTCTCTGAATTTCTCTCATATTTTGAGTTGCAAAACAGAAGGGAAAACGGAAGGAATGGTCTGAAAAAAAAAAAAAAAAAAAAAAAAAAAAAAAAAAAAAAAAAAAAAGGAATGATCCAAAGAGCCAGTGGACTAGCATCCAGCCTCTACAATGATCTGAACTCTTCAACAAAAAAAAAGAAAAAAAAAAAACAAGAGCCCGTGGACTGCAGTCAAAATTTCAGGAGTCAATGCTGACTCTGTCCAGGGTTGATGAGAGTTTGCTCACTGCTGAAACCGGAGATTAGGCGGCTGGCTGCCCACCAATAAATCGACGTATTCAGAAGGAAAAAAAAAAACGAAAAAAAAAATGATTAGGTTCTGGACTACCCGGATTTTCAGTTTGAAAAGTCACTGTGATGTTTCTGTCAGAAGGTTGTCCCTGAGTCGCAATGAATTGTTTACAGGATTCGGATTCTGTTTAACCACCACTACCTCCGAGCCTGTTTTTGCCGACCCTGATTTTCGCTGCGGCCACAGTCTCCAAACCGTCATACCCGTCGTGGGTATCCCCACTGTTCTAGCCAAAAAAAAAAAAAAAAATGCTGCTTGTATACTGGCATGTTTGTAGGGGGTTACTTGGCCCAGCTAAACGGTCCCCACACTGTCGTACTGCCCATCAGGGTGGAAGTTTACCACTCTCCACAGCTTGTCCGGGGGTTCCACAGTCTCCTTTTTTTTTTTTTTTTTTTTTTTTTAGTGACAGATATATATCTATATATCTATCTATTCCTCTCACTCTAAAGCTCTCTATCCTTCCCTCTCTCTCCCTCTCACGCTCTCTCTCTCTCTCTCTCTCTCTCTCTCTCTCTCACTTGTGTACAATCTCTCTCTCTCTCTCTCTCTCTCTCTCTCTCTCTCTCTCTCTCATGCGTGTCTGTGTGCACAAGTGCGTACATGCCTCTTCTCTCTCCCCCTAATTCTCCCTCCTCTCTCTCTCGCTGTTGCTATCCCCCCTCTCTCTGTCTTCTCCTCTGCCTGCCCCCCCCTCCTCTCTCCCTTAAGCCCACTTGCTCTGTGTAGCAAACTAGCTAACAATCTGGCTGATGATGCTGTGGTTAATTGAGCGTTATCGCAGTGCTTCAGAATGGGGTCTGCCGATCCAGGTTCCCTGGCTGGCATTACCATCAAGGCTGTTGCAAGTGTTTTCATCTCTGCAGCTTGCTCCATCCTAGCTGATCACCTAACAGGCTGCAATGCGCAGCGATGGCTGCGGTCAAAGCTGAGATGGGGATGGAAGAGGGCACCCCATGAGGAGCGGAAGAAGTCTGCTGACGAAGCAATCCACATTGGTTATGCAGACTACTTGCACAACACCTCTGGCACAAACACTCTACATCACAATCTATCCGAAATGGACAACGAGGAAGATTGGGAAGATTGGGATGAGGAAGCAAGGACTTTGCACCATATGTTGCAGTTGGACGGACAGAGTGATCGTGGAAACCTTGCAGCTGTTAGGGGCAATTGGGGGGAGGAGGATGACATAATGGATGTCCTCAAGCTGGCGATCCCAGTTATGGATTTTAGAAAAGGTTCAGACCTGGGCATGCATACCAGTCACTCTTTCAAGGAGGAGGATTGCTCCAGCTCTGCAGACTCGTGCAGGGTGGCATCTATCACCACCAAGAGGGAGTTGGAAAGAGAGGGAATTTGTGATACCACCACCGTCCCAGTTGTCTCTGATGCCAAGGCACCTTTGATGGCTTTTTCACCTATTTTTTTGTCCTCTTATGCACCAGTGGGCACTGTTGAGCTTATCGAAGCGGAGGCCCAGAGTCGCTCTCTATCCTTGTCAGCAAAGGTAGCTCCCCTTAAAACATGTGGTTTTCTTAAGCAAACAACAGAGGTGAGAAATGTGGAGAACGAAGAGGAGGAGGAGAAGAATTGGCCTTGTGAGCAGAAGCAGAAGCAGGAGGAAGAGGAGGAGGAGGAGGAGGAGGAAGAAGGAGAGAACGGTGATGGTGATGATGAGATAGGTGAAGAGGAAGATGCAGAGGAAGATGTGGAGGAAGATGTCGCAGAAGATGCAGAGGAAGATGAGGAGGAAGATGAGGAGGAAGATGAGGAGGAAGATGAGGAGGAGAAAGAGGAGGAGGAGGAGGAGGAGGACGACGACGACGAGGAGGAAGAGACCACAGGAGGAGGAAGAGAGGATCCAATAGGAAAGGAAGCACATAGGGAACACGAGTTCGAGCAACTGGCAGTGACACTGGAGAACCTTGAAGATGAATATAATAAGAAAGTTGAGGCAGTGGCAGGAGAGACCTCCTTGAATGAAGTAGCCGAGGAGAGGGAAGAGGGTGAGGGGGAGGCGGAGGCAGAGGACGAGGAGGAGGAGGAGGAGGGGGAGGAGGGTAACGAGAGAATGCAAGTGGTTGTAAGACAATTTCAAGCGGGAAACAAGAGGGTTCATGCGCCAAAGGCATGCTGGAAAAACAACAAAGGCGAAAGAATGGCTTTGGGTGTAAGGGATGGGGTGGAAGCTCTGCGAATGGAAACCGCAGATTCTTTCAGCGATACAGAGCTTAGCCAGTCTGACTCCATGAAGAACAGGCTTTCTGACTTCATGGGCTCAACTGATGAATACAGAAATGAGCACGCAATGGGAGGAGTGGAGCGAGAGAAAGTGCAGATGACACAGGTAAAACGCAACATAACAGTACTGGATTCTGTAGTGAACGGGCAGAAGGAACATGCTGAACCTGCGCTGAATGGAATGACAGCGTCAAGGGCGAGTGGTTTGGAGGAGATGCTAACAATAGAAAGCCGGGGTGAGAGTGACAGCAGCGGCAATGAAGTGAGGGTGGAGGTGAGGGAGGCAGCACAAGAAGAGGGTGATGATACCAACAACAGGAGAGCCGAACAACCAGAAGCGGCGTGGGTAACAATCGATCCACTGCTTCACGGAGCGGCAGCTGTGGAAGAAGAGACACTAGCAAGCAGGAGGGGTGAAACAGCTGTAGTTGATGTGGTGAAGGTGGGCAGTTCCTTAACTGACATGAGGGATGTTGACAAAGAAATCCACTCGGCGCCGTTGGCGGGCTTGCATGACGACACTTGTGAGGACAAAGAAAAAGGGATGGAATTGGATAAGGAAGATGGTGCAGCCCTTGATGAAGGTGGGCGCGATGAAAAGGGCCATGTGCAGTGCACTTCTTCGTCCTCGTCCCCTTTCTCTGATGAGGAGCGAAGTGATGGCGGTGGAGGTGAGAATGGCAAGCAAGTGCTGAGGATGACAAAGGAATTGGTGATGGGGAATGCGCAGGGACAGATTGTGTCAGAGCTATTCCAGGGCAAGGCAGCGATGCAGATGCACACTCAAGAGGAGGTGGAGACACTGGGGGAAGTTGACCCGGGTGCCGTAGTGTGTGGAGATGGGCCGTGCGTGCCAAAGACGGATAATCGTGAAGGGATGATAGAGAAAGAGATGGTGGACTCAAAAGAGGGAGAAAGACTATCTCAAGAAAGCAGTGATTCTGGGACGCAATCAGGGATCCTTGAATCCAAGGTCCTCATGCCGAAGCGTGAGGTAATTTGTACTGAAAGTTGCGATGATACTGCAGACCCGCCAGAGTTGGTGGACACCACAGCACAGATTCAGGAAATAAAGAACGTAAGTAGGGAAAGGGAGGATGAGGTGGAGCAAGGGGCAGTCAATCACGACGAGGAAGCTAGAAACAGGGAGCTGATGGTGAACGCTATGACCCCACCACAGCTGTCAAAGCAAGAAGACAACAGGATGGCGGTCACGGAGTCCAGCAAAGAAGTTGAAGTGAAGGAGCAGCAGCAAGAGGGAGCCTTGGAGGAGACGAGAAGACAGGTGGTCGCTGCTATAGACCTGTCATCCACGGATGATGGAAGGGGAGAGCTCGACTCGAACTCGAAAGGTCCAAATTTGCTTGAGGGGATTCAAGTGGTGCGGAATGTCGTTCATATGGAAGAGGGGGCGGACAAAGGTGGGGAATCTCAGATGTCGTCGACAGGTGATTGTGGTATGCGGGTGCTTTGCACTGGTGTTGATAATAACAATGACAGTAAGAACTTTTTGTCGGTAAATGAGATGGACCTCCCGGCGGAGGGAGGGAGTTGCCAAGTGGTCCACTCTGAAAGAAAAAGGTTGGTGGTGGAAGCCTCTCTTCTTGCAGAATTTGAGCTCGCCACTCAATGCAGCAGCAAGAGGGCTAAGGAGAGTGAGGAGGATGCAGGACCTCTGGTGAAGAAGAAGAAGAGGCGAGTTGTTGATCGTCTTCGGGCATCTGGCATAAAGATCAAAGGTTGTTCCGCATCTCATGTTCACGGCTGCAGCCACACCTCCAGCTCCGCTTTGGAGCAAAGATCCTCCGTCCTTGCAACCCTTGGGCAGAATGGGAAGCTGGGAACAGAGAAGCAGATGGATAGCCCCATCAGCATCCACGTGCGTCGTGTGGCCGGCATGCATAGCCAGGAGGCACATGCGGACAACTGTGCCCAGGCAGCCTGCAGTTCTGTGGAAGTTGAGGGTGGTTCCCTTGCAACGAATCATAGCAGCCAAAGTCCTAATCTTGTTGAAGCTCAGAAATCTGGATCTTTTGGCAATGACGACGAACAAGTACGAGACTCTTCCAACTATCCTCGAAGTGAATCTGAGATCGCAGTGTGTTATCCCCTGATGCCGCTGACGGCTAGTAGTCAAGAGCAGTCAGAGAAAGGCGAACGAGAGGGTGCTGTCGACGAGGAAAGAATTGATGAAGACGCAGCAGACAATTGTTCGGCTGGCAAACTGGTGGATGAAGATGAGGGTGAGGTGGAGGCGTGGAGCAGCGGGATGGACAAGGTGGAGAGAGATGGGAACGACCGGGGTCCAAGCAACGACGATCATTGCTCTGAGAACTCGATTGCCGATGTGGTGGAAGGTGAAGAGGGGTCTGGAAATTGCGAGATCAAGGACAAACTGTTTTGCGGCGTGACACGAGAAGACGTACTGACCGATAAGCAGAAAGAGACCATGGAAACAGGGTGTGGTGACGAGGTACATTCGGAGAACAGTCAATGTAGTGTAGTTGCAGCAGCTGCCGTCAACCAGTTGGCAGGCAAACCAGATTGCAACAGACTTGGCGACAACGATCAAGAGACGGAGCTGGACAATCAAGAAGTTGATGTCCATAGCGAAGAACAAGAAATGGAAGTCTTGTGCGAGGACGGAAATGGCTGTAAGGAACACGATTCAGACGAATCGTTCGCCGGTATGCCGTTATCACCTCATGTTCAATTTACGATTGCAGGTGAAGTACAAAAGGGGAAGACTTATGGCAGTGAGTATTCAGCAACGGCAGCAGTTGAAGAAACCGAAGCACAAGTTGTACAAGTACAGAGACTGAAGCCATTAGGTGATATGGAAGGCAGGGGTGAGGTGGCGGCGGTTCATCAGACACACCACACTGATGCCGGCGAGCAGAGCCAAAAAGCCCCTCCCTCCAGAAGTTGTGATTCAGACAAGGTGGAGAGCGAGGTTGGAACGGAAGAGTCCTCTTCCATTGGCAGGCATGCCAAACAAGGAGAGGAGAAATGTAGCATCTCCTCTGATGCATCTACCAGGGATGGTCTTCTGGCGGAACAAGCATGCCAGCCATCACAGCATGGGTCAGAGCGCGGTGGCAAGCAGTCTGTGAGGAGTAAGGGAGGTAGCGATAACAGCAGCAGCATAACCGACGGTAAGGTTGTTTTGGAGACGCTTCCAACACCGTCAGGATATCACTTCCTTTTATGTGCATGTGATGCTTGCATCGCAAGTCGCAAGAGCGATGTGGCTGGTGGTAGTGCGTCTGGGGGCAAAGGTGAGGGTGGAAAGGGAAGGACGAGCGGCAGTGAAGAAGTTACATGCAGTGGTGTAGAGGCGAGAGCAAAAGGCGATAGTGTATCTGGTAGCACCCTTAATTCTCCCCGGATGAACGTTACTCCCTCTGAAGGCATCAGGAACAACGGAATCGCTGCCGAGGAGACTGTAGGGCTATCATCAACGGGCAGTTCCTCCGTGCTGCCTCCTCGCCCTTGTACCCCCCCGCTTACTCCCCCTTGCCCACCGCCTCCGTCATCGTCTACCTCATCTTCTTGTGGGGAGGAGCCTCAGGTGGAGCAGAGGTCTATCCCTGAAGTGCCCCCCACACCAGATGGGTACCACTTTCTATTGTGTACATGCAGCACATGCGTTGAAAACCGGAAAAAGACAGTCGTACCACCATCTGCGATGCCCAATACCAGAGGCAATTTTCCAAGAGGAGGAAGGATGGGGGGGGGGGGCATGGGAGATGCCATGCTGAATGCAAGTCACAACAGTGGAAGAGGACACACGCGAGGAAATTTGCCTCAGGATATGAGGAGGAGGTGGTCAGGTGATGGACAGGGCAGAGGCGGGTGTAGAACTACAAGCTGTCATTCTTTTGACCACGCTGGAGGGCTATCTGGTCCCGCGGAATATCCTCCAGGCGGTCATCCGCAGGGAGGCAGACGAGGGAGAGATGAGATGAACATGGGTCCCAAGCACGGAGTACACAACTCGTCATCGGTCAGAGCATCACACACAGATGCTCCAATGGCGCAGTGTCGGGAAATGAGAGGAGGAGACGGAGCTGAGTGGGTGTCAGGAAGGGGGGGGGATTGTGGTAGTTGCGTTGGATCTCCAGGGAATCTTGTGGGGAAGAAATCTTTTCCCACAACAAGAGAAAATCATTCTAGTCATCCTCCTCCCCCTGCAGCTGCCAATGCTCCCGTTGTTCGCCAGGGCAGTGGCAGGGTGGAGAGGGATTGGGGCGGTGCTCGTGATCCAACATCGTCTGAATCATCAGGGAGTAGAGTGCACAACCGATTAGCATCTCAGGATCGTGTCGGGGAAAGACATAGGGGTGATCTTTTAGGAAGAGGAGCGGGTGGCTACGGTGGTAATATTGCGGGTTTCGTTCGAAGCCCTAATGAATTGAAACCTGGTTTTTCAGCAACAGGGAATCACGTGCAGGTTGGAAGGGGGGAGGGGGGCAATAGACCAGGCAGAGACTCACAGGGAGAAGCAAGTGTTCCAGCACCAGTGCCTGCGGGTGGTTGGTTTAATTATGACCAGCAAATGAACGGCCAATGCGGGAGGGGAAGAGATAGGAGGGCATCGACAGGAGGGCTTGTGGGTGGCGCTGCTCCACCTGCTGCTTGCGAACGTTCTGGGAATGGGTCGGGAATCAATTTTCGAGATCGGATGGGGTCGATGGACGGGAAGTTTGCTTCTCACGACGGGGGCCGCCCGCCACATTTTGTCCAAGAGAGGAAATGGAGGGGAGGAGGGAGAGGGGGCCGAGGTGGGTCCTCATGGGCGGTGGCCGCAGATGGGCTAGAGGAGAGAAGGTTTTCCGCTACGGGAATTGCAGATGAATTTTACCCTCGACAGAAGGAAGCCGGCATTGGGAGGAGCCCAAATGAGGGCCAGGCACAAGGGAGGGGCGGGGTTCCAAACTCCACCAGCTGGAATGGGAGCAGCGAGTCATGGTACCCCGGCCAAGGTAGGTCAACGGCCGAAAGTCAAGGGCATCGGCCACACCAACATAATCCGAATCCCCACGTGCTTGCAGCCGGCAATGGCAGACCAATCCAGACCCACTTGGTGAATGGAGGAGCACCAGAATGGGGGGTAAGAGGAGGAGGAGGAGGGGGAGGAAGAGGTGGAAGAGGAGGAAGGGTAGGAAGAGGAGGAAGAGAATGTGGGGAGCAAGGTCGAGGCCGAGGTTGAGGACCCTTGGGATTGGGTGCCGGGTGCATAGAACGCGCTCGCATTCGTGGAGGCAAGGGATAAACAATCTGACCAGATGCTGAGCGGACGTGGAATGTACGGTGAGGAAAGGCCAGTCATCACGATGTTTTGTAAGTGGGCCCTCTCTCTGCTGCTTTCTTTACTGAGCTGTGGCCATTGAGTACCCTTGCTTGTGCTCGCACACTGGACACTCGTTGGACTTGCTATGGCGATGCATCGAGCTCCAGAAGAGTCCATACGTCCTACTAACAAGCTCTGTCTGACTGTCGTTTACGGCGTGGCAGTTTGTCTTGATCTAAATATAGTACAAACTCTGTCTATGTGTCTCTCTGTGGACAGTCAGCTGCGCCCTCCAGTTAAGCCCGTTGCTGTGCGTCATCTTTATGCTGTGCGACCTATCAGCTGCCAGCGCTCTGTTTGGTTTACCACCTGCTTAACTCTCAAATGCCTTGGTGGCTAAGCAAGAACTGAACCCGTTCATTGTTTTTACATATATAGTAGAGGCCGCCCAATGGATAATGATGGCAGGGTTCGTACCATGATGTTATCGACTCTTGCTGCCTGTCTATAATATGTCTTCTGCAGTCTGCCAGCCATAGCCGTATGTATGGAGTGCCACTATCGTCTGTGTAGTTGTGTGCTGAGCCTCGGACATGAAGTGAAGGGGACAACAAAAGAGAGAAAGGTGCAATGGGATTGCCGGAGCCCTTTGTCACAATCATCTCCAGAGTCCTGAAAAAAAAAGGGGGATCAAAATGCGTAGTCATATTCTCTAAGTGACTTGTAGTTGTGTATGCCTGAACCGCTGAGTTGGACAATCCATTGTCTTCTCTTCTTTCAGTGAAGGCAAGTTTTTCCTCGTTGCCTCGCATGGACAGTGTGCCATTCGATTCTACTTATCTGATTCTTTTAGCTGTGTAAACAGGTATATCTAGCATGTTGCTTGCTTTACGGGAGAGAGAGGGAGTGTGTAGAGAGACGTACACATGCACAGCCCCAGCTCAACGGCCTGTACACATGCACAGCCCCAGCTCAACGGCTTTGTGTAGGTCAAACGGACATAAGCGATGGCTGTCTTTCATGGACACTTGGAATCAGAGTGGCAACAAGGTGGAGGGTCTGTGTCTGGAGTGCTGTGTTGTTAGACACAGGTGACGCGGGGGAAAAGGCAAAGGAGGAGATGTGAAGAACCCAAACCGGTGTGTTGCTTGTAGAAAAGTTCGAACCTACATAAGAGACACGTCTTCAAAAAGGAAAGGAGGCACCCATAGGAGCCCGAATGGGTTTCGCTTGCTGCAAATGCGTTCGAACATACATAAGAGATGTATGTCTTCAAACAAGGAAGGGGCCACCCTGAAGACCCCAAACGGCCTTTTGCTTGTTGGTGGAAATAAGAGATGCAAGTCTTTCCTAACGAGCAAGTAGGAGAGGCCTGAAGAGCCCGAACGGGTTGGGTTGCTTGTAGGTAGAGTCTACGTAAGAGATGTGATTCTTTCAACAAGCATAGAGGCGTCCTGAAGACGTGGCCCTCATTCCAAATGAGCAAGGAGGAGAAGCCTGAAGTCCCCGAACGGGTTGGGTTGCTTGTTGGTAGAATCTACGTAAGAGATGGTGCAATTCTTTCAACAAGGCGTCTCGAAGACCCGGCCAGAACGGGTTTTGCTGGTACACCAAACGTACCTTACCTAACAGACGCATGTCTGTCTGGGAAACCGGTGGCGCTCGGTGACACAGAGTGGCACATCTGCGTGTAGAGAGGTTTATCAGATATACTCAGGCATATTCGAGTTCGCAACGAGTGCTGGACATCGTGTACGATTAGCGAATGAATGAATGGATGGATGGATGGAAGGATGGAGGGATGCACTGCTGCTGATGCAGTAAGCCGTACAGAAGGGGTTGGCGGAGTTTCTACCCCATGCAGCAGCAGCGAATGGGAGTCGGAATCGTTTTTCGGTCTTAGAGGATCAGCAATTGGATGTTGTTGAAGGTGTTCCCTTATTTTCTTGGTCGAGGCAACGTCGTTGCACTTAGGATCGCCTGCATGCGCACCAGCAGTACCAGCTGGATGAGAGATTGGACGGCACCGTCTGCAGCACGCTGGGGGGGAGAGGGGGCGGTGCATTCTCTACTACGGTGTGGTGCTCTTCTTGCCTGCTTCCATGACAGCAGTCCATGCAGCTGGACTGTACGTTCCAACTCCCCCCCCCCCTCACTCCCTTTTCTTTTGGTTATTTTTAGCCGTTTGGTTATCTTTAACCTTTCAAATTCTTTAGTTCATTTTCTGATTGCTGTTAATAACATTTAATCATTTTTTATTTTCAATAATTCTATTGTTAATTTCAATAATTTGTTATGATATGAGATCTTTAATTAACAATGTGCTGGCACCATGGCGTTTCTACTTCCTTGTCGGAACTCGGTAGTGAAGGCAGCGGGACTGAGTGTACGCTCACGGTTTTCCCTTTTTTTTTCTTTTTTTTTTTTCCTTTTTTTTTTAAGCTGTCTTCTCCTCGTTGGGGGACAACGCTCACGGTTTTCCCTTTTTTTTTCTTTTTTTTTTTTCCTTTTTTTTTTAAGCTGTCTTCTCCTCGTTGGGGGACAACTGTATATATTTTTTATTATTTTCCCCTCTTTTTTTTTTTTTTTTTTTTTTGAGCTGTCTTT